GGAGTCCATTAGCCTGGCTTGATCTTTCAAGAATCAACTGTTCGCTATTACGCCACTCCTTGTCCCTTGCCATATCCCTCGCCTAAGTTTCTTTTCTCTCTTTCAATCTTCCCAATTATATGTCCAACCCAATCATCTGTTAGAATCATATTTCTGCCTGTCAATCACTGCCTTAGAACTGGAATCCCAAATTTTCACATTTCATACAGTTAAAAGAAACATTTTCCCACATCTTACTTCAGAAGCAGGGACCCTACTCTTAACTTTAGACATGTTTCAAAGGTACTGATTGCTCCCTTGGCATTACAAGACAGTCAGCACTAGAGTTCCATAGTGGCATCAACCAAGAGTGGCATCAAATTCTGTGGTATCTTCCCCCACAGTCTCTGGAGACAAGAGACCATGCTGAAAAACAAAGATATTGAATTATCTGCTTCAGCTTCACTTTCTGGACATGTTCTGACAAGAAGGAACACAGTCACTACAGAACAGTGTCCCCAGGGGATATCTGTGATTTTTCTATATCATATTTTTCTCAAGTTACTCCTCTGCAAATGGAGCCCCTTGAAGAAGTTCAGGATTCCCAGAAGAGAAGTTTCATCAACCTGGTCTTTGAGCTATCTTCTGCTACTAATCCAGTGATTGTTTCGATGTAAACACCAGACTGAAGCAATACAGAAGGGATCTTGTGTCAGAAAAGGTTAAATGCTACAATAACCCTCTCTTTGCAACATGTTTTGGGACTGGTAGGAGCTGTGCTCTTGAATGTACTTTCTCTCCTTTCCAGATGAAGCTTGGTTTGTCTCCGTCCCATTCAGGAAAGCCACCGGCATTTTCATCTCCTGAGAATCATTTAGATTCTTCTAATGTTTCTTGTTCTTATTCAGAAAAAGCAAAGGGATTGATTCATCTCTATGTATTATGGATTTCCTCCTTTTATTCCTGAGGCTGCTAGTGTCTCTTCCAATCTCTGGGAACCTTAAAGTCAAGTGCCCGCTGAGTTTGGAACATCAGGATGGAAAAAAACCATGGAGCTATTACAGACCAGGAGACCATCTCATTAGTATCATCACCACTGGAACAGAAATATTACATACAATATTGCTTTTCAACAAGGCTCCTAATAACCAGTCTGATTTGTAAGTCATACAGTGTGATGAATGTGTGAATTCTCTCCATCTGGAGTTCCAACACTTTTTTTCATTTCTTTCTGATTTCTTCTGATTTGCTCCTATATTGCAAGACCTGTCCATTTTCATGAATCTTTTCTGATTTCCATTTCTCCCCTTTATCTTATTTTGTGGAAGAGACCCAAATCTCCAAATGGGGCAGAAAGAAAACATGAAAGAAGTCCACATTATTTTCCTCTTTCTTGGAATCCTGAATCCATGCTTTTTGTTTCCATAGATTTCTAAGCCACTCACTTCCCAATTCTTATAGGAATAGATCAGAGGTGGTATTCAGCAGATTCTGACCAGTTCTGGAGAACCGGTAGCAGAATTTTGAGTAATGTAGAGAACTGGCAAATACCATCTCTGATTGGCCTGCCTCCATCTATTCTCTGTCACCTGAATCCCAGCTGATTGGCTGGGTCTTCTTTTGTTGCCCTGCACAGGAGAACGAAGCTGGAAAGCAGGTTAGTGGGGTGGGGAGGGAATGGAGATTTTGCAGTATCCTTCCCCTGCCATGACCACCAAGCCATGACCACAGAACTGAAAATAAAAAATTTTGAATCCCACCACTAGAAAAGACCATTTATTTTTAGAATAGCTTTTCTGGGTCACTGATCAAAAATCCTATTCCATTTATAATGGTTTTGTTTGAATGATTGAATTATTTTGCAATGTTTCTGGGCCCAAAAAAATTGCTACTGCTACATATTATGGTGGATTTGTGATACTTAACCCTGGTGGGGAACTATCACCATCTTATCTTACTAACAGTCATTAAAATTAAATTTTGATGGGTGACAATGGTTTGTTGTTGGTTTGGATCAATATTGGCTTAAGATTCAATAGGCTTGTGGAGAAAAACAATGTATTAAATAGAAAGAAATATTTTGTTATTGGTCTTGATGATGGTGATATTAACATGAATATTTTTACACTAGCTTACCTTATGATAGATCAAGAATAGTATACTTTATTTTCAATATTCAAGTTGTCAACAAGATTCCTCAGCTCTTGCACAATTTGACACTTGGCTACAACATCCATGACAACTATTTGAATGTGCATGGCACCTCTGATGCCTTGCTGGATATACTCTCTACTGGAGAAGCCAATGTTCCCAACTACAACTGTGGAAGGAAAGACAACCTGTTGACTCTGGTTGATGGTACTGAAAGGGACATTTCTATCCAGATGTCAACATTAGTCAACCCCTACAAAGTCTCACAGGTTTGTATGTTTATTTCTCTATCTGGTAAATTAAGTAGAGTGGTGGTGGGTGAATGATAGAGCCAAGCATATCTTGTCTATGGAATTTTCTACAGAGGAAGCAAGGACCAAAACAGACAAATCTTCTTATAACACCATCCTTATTGCTTTGGGGGTTTCTACCTCACATTTGTGAAGTGAGCAGAGGCTTTGTGTTCAATTAAAAGGAACTTCTGGGCAACTGGAAGTTAAGCAGTGAAAGCTCATGTTGTCAGCGTTCCAGAAAAACAAACTCTGACTCCACATAATCTTAGACAAAATAATGACAATTTCAACTTTTCAGATTCATGAAAAGAATCCAAATGAATTATCTTATTTATGGTTGATAAATCATATGTTCTATGTCTTTTACTGTCATTTACTGATAAGAAAAGTCTTATCACTTTTTCAGCTTAGTCTTGAAATTGCTTCAGAGGCTCTGAATGAAAAAAGTCAGTTTCCTTTTTTCCACCGGACATTCCTCAAACAAGGTTTTCAATATTCAGGAATTGTCCAACTGCTCCTCCATTTCAGATGGACCCTGATTGGTCTCTTTGCTTCAGAAACAGAGAAAGGAGAGAATTTCATGAAAACTTTTACTCCTTTGCTTGTCAGGAATGAAATTTGTGTTGTTATATCACAACAATTCTCAACAACTACACCCACAGAATCCTTCAGGGAAGCCATGTCCAAGTGGAGACAAGTCAATGTCTTTGTTCATTTTGCAGAATATGATCCTATTTGGGACAGAATCCTTCCTTTCCATTTAACCCTTGAAAGTTTGCCAGGACTCACTGAAGGAAAAGTCTGGATCATGACAGGTTTAGGAATGTATGAAATAAGAAAGAACAAACTTCTCAAACACATCCATAGTATTTGGAATTATAGTTTTTGGCAAAATGAAAAGCCAAAAGATGATGCCTTTGAACCCTATTTATTTCTAAATCCTCAGTTTGAAGATCAGTCTTTTGAATGTTTGCTTTCAAAGCACATCTTTTCTGTGAAAGGCCGGAGACGATGCGTTCAGAAATTACCTCTGGGAACCCAAAAGGAAGGGAGCAATTTCCAGATCACAAATGATGACCATTATTACAGTTTCATTAAGACTCTGGCCCATGCCTTGAGTACTGCATATTCCTCCAATACCAGAAGGAAAAGGAAGGAAGGCAATGAGAGGTTGGGCACTCCAAGGCTACATCCATGGCAGGTGGCATAAATTCCATTTAAGAATATAAAGGAGAAGGAGAACCTTCTCAATGTACTTGTACTAAAAAAAAGGCCAAATGATTTGGCCAATCTCATCACTTGGGGAAATAATGCCATACCACAAAATGTCTAAACCACAAAAGATACGTTTTGATATTAACCACTTCTGATTTTAAAATGTTTTACGCATTTTTAAATAAATTCCTCTATGTATGGTTTTGTGGTTAGCATCATAGAATTTTAACTTTATAAATTTGAAGGAGAATCTGAGACCATCTAGCCCAGGCTTGTCCAACCTTTCACCTTCCCTGGGCCACATTAGAAGATGAAAATTTGGTTTGGGCCACACATAAAATAAAATAACAGTAACGATAACTGATCATCCAAAAAAACCATAGAAAACATTTTTTTCATAAGATATCATAAAAAATAGTCAACCAGGGAGAAACGAACGTGGGGGGGGGGGGGAGAAAGCTCGCCCGCCTCACGCCTACCTCTCCTCCTGCAAATGGCCTGGCTGGATGTGGCAGGACTGGAAGGCGAGGACCGGGAGGCTCGGTGCAGCAGCAGCGGCGGCGGCGGTGGCAGAAGCTGCTAAAAAAGCTCCAGTGGCAGCAGCGGTGGTGGTGGCAGCAGGGGCAGAAGCCGCTACAACAGCTCCAGCGGCAGCCGCGGCGGCAACAGCAGGAGGTGGCAGAGCGGGACTCTTGGACTGTGGCTGCCTCAGCACGAGGAGCACTCTAACAGCGTCCTCCTTTTCTGTTGCTGCTTGGCGTGGTGCTCGCCTCGCCCCACCTCGCGCCTGCCTCTCCTCCTCCTCCTCGCTGGCTCGTCCTCTTGCACAAAGGTTGGGGTGGGCACTGGGCCGCATTATGAGCCGACCTGAGCTGCATGCGGCCCATGGGCCGCGGGTTGGACAAGCCTGATCTAGCCTAACCCCTCCTGTCTGCAGGAAGTCCAGTTAAAGCTTTCCTGACTAATGGTTGCCCTATCTTTCCACTAAGGCATTCCATGAAGGGGAGACTGAACTTATCTATTTTACTAGCTCAGTTCTAAAATTGTTCCTCCCTCTATGATGTTGCTACTCCCATTCAGCCAGAATCTCCTCTCTTGTGACTGAGTTCATGTTACCCATGTCTGAATAACAGTGAGAAAATATTAAAACTCTGAGTAACATTTTTCAGTTATTTGAAGTATTGATCTCCCCAAACCAGAACATTCATTTACAGATATTCTTTTTTAATTGATTTTCTATTGAATACATTTCTTTATCAACTGAGAGATTTTGTAAGTTGGAGAAGCTGCTCCCAGATTTGTTATTATGAGACCCATAGAATAATGATCCAGGGTTTTGTCTAATGTTTTCAATGTCAATCTATCCATTTCTGCACAATCTAGAGTCTTCTTGACTATTTCTTCATCTCGTGGTATATCTTCATTCTTCCAATATTGTGTGAAAATAATATCCTCACTGCTGTTAAGATATGTAATATTAAATACATACTTTTCTTATCAAGTGTTTCTGATATTATACCTAATAAAATAAATAATATATAATAATATAATAATGCTACCTGATAAATAATAATATCTAATAAGAATAATTCAGGTTTATAATCTACATGTTTTCTTGTCATCTTTCCTAGCCACCTGTGTATCTTTACCCTTTTTTTTTTTTGCTTTGACAGAAGTCCACCACAAACGATAGAATGTTCCCATTTTTGGGTTACATTTCCAACATTTGCTAGACATATTTTTAAACATTTTAGCTAATCTAGCAGGTGGTAGATGCCAAATGTTTAATATAAATTTCCTTTATAAGAAGTCAACATTGTTAATTTAGAGTTTGTTTTCCATGAATTTTGCAGGTAATCAGCTTGTTGTTTTCTAGGAGTTTATGAACAATCTATTTTTTTGTGTGTTGTTGTTCTTTTTATTTGTCACCTGCTGTGGAATTTTCCCTGTAATTGATCAAATGTGTCAATTATATTTTGTCAGTAAAAATTCTGACAATATATGTTTGAAAATTTTGTTTTATTTCACTTATAAAAATAGTGGTAACACTTTTTCTTCTAATTAAGCATTTGTTGAACTTAGATAACTATATTTGCAAGTTAGACAGCTGTACAAGTAAGAATCAAATGTGAAAATATCATGTGGAATAAGAAACCTATAAAGTCTTAGTAAGATCACACCTAGAGTACTGCATCGAATTTTGTTCACTACATTATAAAAAAGATGTTGAGACTCTAGAAAAATTGCAGAGAAGGGCAACCAGGATGATTAGGGGACTGGAGACTAAAACATAAAATGAACAGTTACAGGAACTGGGCTTGGCTAGTCTAGTGAAGAGAAGGACCAGGGGAGACATGATAGCAGTGTTCCAATATTTGAGAGATTGCCACAGAGAGGAAGGGGTCTAGCCAGTGGTGGTATTGACATAATTTAACAACCAGTTCTCTGCACTAATGATTTCTTCCAACAACCAATTGACCAAACTGCTCAGAAAGTTAACAACCAGTTCTCCCGAACTGGTGCAAACTGGCTGAATCTCACCACTGGGTCAAGCTATTTTCTAAAGTGCCTGTAGGTCAGACAAAGAATAATGGATGGAAACTGAACAAGGAGATATTTAACCTGGAAATAAGGAGAAACTATCTGACAGTGAGAACAATCAACCCATGGAACAGAAGTTGCCCTCGGAAGTTGTGGGAGCACTATCACTTGAGACCTTCAAGAAAAGAATGGACTGCCATTTGTCAGAAATGGTGCAGGGTCTCCTGTTTGGGTGGCAGGTTGTACTAGATGACCTATAAGGTCCCTTCCAACTCTGATATCTGTTATCTGTTAAGCCAAGATTTCAGCTTTTAAAAATCCTGGATGTTTCCATTCTAGTTTCACCCCTTTCTGGAGAAGAATGAGTTTTGCAATCTTTCCTACTTTAAACTCTACATGGACCAAAATGGAGATGTAGCAGCAGATCTGCTTATCATGAGCTTGTTGGTTTTCCTTGAAAAGGATCCCATGACCCTGAAATTGGGGACTTTTCAAAGACAGAGACTTGTGTTCTACCAAAATGCTATGTCAGAGCTAAAGTTGCTCAACAAGGTGGGTGAAATATTGGCATTTTTTCTCTGTTTTCAAAGCTTTAGCATCCATTTCAAGTGGGCTAAGCCCATAATTATCATGGTGGATAACTTCAGAGAGAATTGAATGTGGGGAATAGAAAACCTACATTTTCCCTAGACTGCTTAGGAGGCTTCAGAATGCTGAGTGAGGTACTAACACTACTCTATAAATCCTTAGTAAGACCACACCTAGAATACTGCATCCAATTTTGGTCACCACACTATAAAAAGATGTTGAGACTCTAGAAAAAGTACAGAGAAGAGCAACCAGGATGATTAAGGGACTGGAGACTAAAACATATGAAAAACTGTTACAGAAACTGGGCTTGGCTAGTCTAGTAAAGAGAAGGACCAGGGGAGACAGGATAGCGGTCTTCCAATATTTGAGGGGTTGCTACACAGAAGAAAGGGTCAAGCTATTTTCTAAAGCACCCAAAGGTAAAACAATGAATAATGGATGGAAACTAAACAAGGAGAGATTTAACCTGGAAATAAGGAGAAACTTTCTGACAGTGAGAACAATCAACCCATGGAACAGCTTTGCTTTCAGAAGTTGTGGGAGTGCCATCACTTGAGACTTTCAAGAAGAGATTGGAGCACCATTTGTCAGAAATGGTGTAGGGTCTCCTGCTTGGGCGGGGGGGTGTTGGACGATGACCTACAAGGTCCCTTCCAACTCTGTTTATCTGTTATCTGCTATTCATGAAGGTGATTTTCAGTGTCAGGGTTCCAAGTAATACACCCACTGAAAACAGAACTCTGAGGCAGGTCAATTCCTCAAAGAACAGTTTTATTTGGGGATGTCATCTTGGCATAGACTTTTCACCTCATTAAAAAGTGAAATTTTCCTATTCCCCCAAACAATAAGTCACATTGTCCTTTCTGGGTGCTGGCTGTTTGCCTGGTTACTTTTCTTCTTCTCCTCTAGCCAGCCAACTGTTGGAATATCCTTGGCTCATAAAAGTACTATTTTGTTTTAGCTACAAAATCCCAGTTATCTCTACATTCCCCACTCCCTGTCCCACAGCGGTGTCAAGCCTGAAGCTGTGTGAAGAAAAATCCCTATAGAACAGGGCTATTAAACTCCTGGTCCATGGGCTGGATGTGTCATGTGCTGGCCATGCACACACATGGTTTAGTCCTGATACATCACATGATGCCACTGTGATGATGTGTTTTCTTGCAAACATTTCATTACCAAGCAAGGTAACATCATCAAAAATGTCTGCAAGAAAACTACCAGAGTAGTAAGGACCCCAAACTAGGCAGTCCATTTTAGCTTAGGTTCACCAGCCTAGCAACCATATGATCTGAAGAAATAAATATACAAATAAACAGAATGTGACCTTAAAAGTTGACCGCCCTAATTTATAATGAATTTTTCCCCTTTATTTCTTAACTAGAAATTGATTTTCGACTATTTTCAAAGAGGATCAGTTTTGTAATATTTTATATACCCCAGCTTTCTTTCTTCATCATACTTTTACAATATTTTAGTAAAACTAATAGAATAAGAAAATAATACATCTTTAAAAATACATTTTATCCCAAAATTTAATATGAATTTATCACCAAACTTTAAAATCATGGATAGATGAAGAATGAGGGAATGCATGTTAATATGGACATGAACAGGAAATCAATTGGTTGTCACTTAATGTTTAAATCTTTTGCTCAATTCTCCAGCTTCATTAACTAGAAAAAATATTTTATTGCAGCGTGAAATAGTTAGAGATTTCATATTTGCTCAAGTGAAGCCTAGAGGTTATTTGGCTAATATTCATGTCTTGCACCACCATTTTCCATGGATGGTGAGTCCTGACATTTTTTCTCTGGCATTTCTTCTTTTTCTGCTTAGTCTCCGCCTCAGTCCAGGTGTGTGGAAAATTGTCGTCCTGGATTTGTCAAGCAGGTTCGGGAAGGAGAGCCAGTTTGCTGCTATGATTGTGTTCCTTGTCCAGAAGGGACCATCTCCACTCAGGAAGGTGGGTGACACCAAAGAAAAGGGTGGGTCTTGTGGAACTACATCCAGAGCATTTTCAGGAAACTGCAAGTTAAATGACAGATCGAAGCTCAACTGTTTTCTCCTTCCTTATCTAAAGGGAAGAAGAGCCAAAAAAATGGGCAAGCTTCATCATTATTAGGGAAAATATCTTTTCTGCTTTTTAGTTTGCATGTCTCCTTCCACGTTTACCTTGCTAGGAGCATCTGAGTTCTTGGAAACTTGAGGAATTGTCTTATGTCCACCTCCTGGAAGGTTTATTGTGTTGCAATGAATTCTATATAGACCTTCTCTTGAGGATAGCAGAAAAGGAGTCACTGCTTCACAAGGTGGCAAGGGAACAATTATGGGTCACCTCATTACACCCATGTTACAACTGTTCCCAATAACTTTTCCAGATTATTTTCAAGTCTAGCTTTCTCTGGCAACCAATGAAATTTCACAAGATACAATAGGCATTCTCTGAGTCTAGTATATTAAGAAGTGCCATCTTCCAGGACTTAGGAAGTTTTATTAGAAAGGTTAATTCATTCATTATTTAACTTTAATAATGTAGCTTCCTATGAGGGATCTGCACACTACATAGGAAATCATTTAAGTCCTATGTTTTCTCCCAATTTCATAGACTATTAGAAGTGTAGCATTTTTTTTTAAAAAAGAAAATTATATACTTTTTGTTTTACTTCTGTAAAAATGTTGAGAAATGCGTCTTGGAAAAGATGTTATTGTTGTCCCTAGAAAGGTAGTGCTTGAAGGGTGAAAGGATGGATATTAAAGGGTTTTTTTTTTTTAATTTTCTCAGATACAGAAAAATGCACCAAGTGTACAGATGATAAATACCCAACTGAGGACCGAGTCCAATGTATCCTCAAAGTTATAACCTTCCTTTCTTATGAAGAATATTTGGGTATCATCCTGGTCTCTTTTGCCCTGCTTTTATTCCTAACCACAGGCTTTATTTTAATCATATTCTTTAAATACCGAGAAACCCCCATTGTCAAAGCCAACAATCAGGACCTCTCTTACATCCTCCTGGTCTCCCTCCTGCTTTGCTTCTTGACTTCTTTTCTCTTCATTGGTCAAGCAAGGAAAGCCACCTGCCTTCTCCGGCAAACCATTTTCAGCATCATCTTCTCAGTTGCCATTTCTTCTCTCTTGGCCAAAACAATCACAGTGGTGCTGGCTTTCCTGGCTACAAAACCAGGAAACCAAGTGAAGAGATGGCTGGGGAAGAGCTTGGCCAACTCCATCATCCTCTCTTGTTCTGCTGTCCAAATTATCATCTGTTCCATCTGGCTTGGTGTTTCTCCCCCATTCCCTGACTCTGACTTCCACTCTCAGCCTGGAATGATCATACTGCAGTGTAATGAAGGGTCTGTTGCCATGTTCTACATCACTCTTAGTTACATGGGCTTCTTAGCTGCCATCTGCTTCACGGTGGCTTTCCTAGCCAGGAATCTCCCTGGGGCCTTCAACGAAGCCAAGCTGATCACCTTCAGCATGCTGGTCTTCTGCAGTGTCTGGGTGAGTTTTGTGCCCACCTACCTGAGTACCAAAGGGAAACATATGGTGGCTGTGCAGGTCTTCTCCATCTTATCCTCCAGTGCTGGGCTGCTTGGCTGCATCTTCATCCCAAAGTGCTACATTATCATTCTGAGGCCAGACCTGAATACAAAGGAACAGCTTACAACCAGAAGAAATATAGAAATGTGAGGCAGAGTCATTTTAAATCTCAACATTTTCCAACAGTCCACACCTAGAAAATTTTCCCAGCTGCTCTCCATACATGAGTGGGCCAATGATTTTGCTTGAAATAATTAAAGTGTGTTTGGAAGACAATATCCCCAACTTTGTAAGTGAAATACTTTTACCTTTGCAAAAGAGCTTCTTTGCCTAGCTTTAAATATAAATATAAATCACATGGTTTTTCAGGCAAATCACATGGTAATTTAGGCAAAACAAAAACATTTATTAAAAAGGCAAGCTCAAGTCTTTTTACAGGGTGTAGAAACAAATGATACATACATTTACAATATGTGATGCATCAGAAAACAAGTAATCAAACAATAAAAGACACTGATTACATATGATACTTAAACAATGGAAACTTTGGTTCTACATAACATTCCACAAGTGGGAAATTTATCAATTACATTATTTTTTTTCTAGTACGGTTTGCACTATCTTAACACTTGCAAATGTATTCAAGTGGTTTCAAGTCTATTTATAGGGCACAGAAACAAATCTTACATACAGCACATTTGGTGTACATAATGCCTCAGAAAGCAAGTGATCAAACTGTAAGAGTTAATTTTATTGTTAATATTTTTTTTTTTTTGGTGTTGAATATTTAATCTTGTTTTTTCTTGATTGTAAACCATCTAGAATCACCTCTTGTCAAGTTGGGCCTTGACTCTGCTCTTGAGCCTTAGACCAACCCTTTTCCATGCTTCTCCTTAAAAAGCACCCTCAGCATGAAGTTGCTCCGAATGACCAATTTCATGAAGAGTCAGCAGATTCTTCAAAATTAGTAGAAAGTGAATGTCTGGACATCATGTAAAAATTAATTCAGTTGTGCTTGCAGATAGATTATCTGTCATTGTTCCAACTAACCAACTCCAAACCTATAAACTCTGAGACAAGCATTTCCTTAAAGGTCCATTTTATTAGCGTTGTCATATTGGCATATCTGGGAAAACCTGAATCTGAGAGTTCCAGGTTTTCCCTTCCCCCCAAAAAAATCAAAGATCCAGCTTCTGCACCCACCAGTCCATCACATGGCCCAATCAAATTGTCACAACTGGAGACATTCCCCAGCCACTCCTCTCCTCTCTAAGTGCAGGGCAAAATGTCCTTGATTCTCTGAGAAAGAATGTTGTTCAGTCTAATCTTCTACATCTCTGTGAATTCCCCCTCCCAAATTCCCAGGCACTAAATATGGCAGCCTCAAAGCTTTTAAGTAAAAAAAAAAGCTGACATTAGCACCTAAAGGCCAGAACCTATAGTATCAAACCTGTTGTCATGCCTGCAACACCTCAGCCTATGTTTACTGCTGAAAAAAATTTCTACCATACAGATTGAGGATGCAGGGCCTAAACAGATTAAACAGATAATCAGAGTTGGAAGGGACCTTGTAGATCATCTAATCCAACTCTCTGCGCAAGCAGGAGACCCTACACTATTTCTCACAAATGACAGTCCAATCTCTTCTTAAAAGTCTCAAGTGTTTGACAGTTTGGAGAACTGGAAAATACCATCCCTGACTGGAGATTTTACAGTATCCTTCCCCTGCCATGGCCACCAATCCATGCCCACAGAACCGGTAGTATTTTTTTTTTAATCCCACCACTGTTTTAGTGCCATTGCAGATACCAAAGAAACCCATGACCATGAAAAGCCTGACCATGTTTGATTGTGGGATTACAACTAACTTAATTGACTTCCAGTTTGTGGTGATTGATGTCATTCCTACATACACTGTCCAATCCCTAGTGGTTAAATCAATCGATGGCCATTCACTATAATCCAGTACAATGGCTTGAGCTATGATTCTGTTGAAAAATTTCTTCCTTTGTTACTCATTGTGAAACTCCTACAATGCTTCCAAAATACTTGTTGTTTACCAACCTGGACTTTAGGGGTGCTTCTACTGTGTACATTATACAAAATGTCTTTTCACTCTGGAGCTGGATGGAGCAGAACCACCAAACCATTACTGCCCATTTCAGCAGAGGGGTCTTTTCTGTAATAATGGCTATCTTGAAATCACAGTATTTCAACAAATATCCATATACTGAAATTGTTGGGTAAGTCATCCTTCTGGAAGTGGCTTTACTGCCAGTCCACTCACACATGATTCCAAAACCTCTGAGCATTGCACAGTTTTATCATGTCTGCTTTGTCAACTCATAAAATATTTCTCTGGTCTTTTAAGAGTTGCCAGGAGAAAGGAAGGAGGAAGTAGTACATTCCTTAAATGCTTTCATAGGTAATTGCTAGGCAACTGAAGTTTCTGGCATGCAAGATTATAACTGGAGAGCATGATTATAACTGGAGAGCAACTCTTGGCTATGGATGTGTCCCATTGGAGAATATACATCCCAGGGGGTGGTGGAAGACCAGGGTCAAGGGTGAAATGAGTGATGTGTCTCAGAGTCGGCTACACCCAGGTAGCACTGGCATGTTCACTCCTAATAAATCTTCTTTAAGCTTTGAAAGATCTGGCTGGAGGTTCATGATTTAAATGGCAGTGAATATCAGAGCACTAACATGCTTTGCCTGTCCCCTTTAGTGAATTACCATCCTATTCTGCCTGTAGTAGAAATGGTTAGGATGTTTCACTGCCAGAAACACAGCACAGGTTGATGGAGGGATAAAACCAGTGGTGGTATTCTACCGGTTTAGGTGTACCGGTAGCGCTGAAGGTCAGTGGAGACCGAACCGGTTATGTCTGAGGAGCTGCCATTGGGCCCTCCTGCCTGCCCAGGCTTTCATATTGATCTTTATTCCCTGCTTTTGGAGTGCATCTGCATTGTGCAGCACAGCAGATTGCCGTGTGCCAGCTGCTGAAGAGACAGGGAGCGTGCAAGATTGCAGGAGGTGAGCCGGATGCATCTGCGCAAAGTGTGTGTTTGGTGTGCGCGTGTGCACAAAATGTGTGCACATGTGCAAAGTGCACCCACTAAACTATTTTGAAATGGATCACTGGGTAAAACCCATGATTGGAACACAGAATTAGAAGGATATCATTTGTTCAAAAGAAACAGGCTCAACAACAGAGTTGGAGGTGGGGAGGTTGCATCCTATGTAAGGAATTACTGTATTACACCTCCATAGAAATATACAATACTAGGGATGAAAGCCTTCTTGAAAGTATTTGGGTAAATATTACAGGAAAAAGAAATGACTTTACTATTGGTATGTACTACAGGGCACCCAATCAGCTGGAGGAAATAGAAGAACTCTTTGCTAATAAGTTAGCTGAGGTGTGCAGGAAACAAACCACTGTAGTAATGTGGGGCATTAACTAACCTGACATCAACTGGGAAACAAACTCTGCAAGGAGTGTGAGATCAACTTTATCATTCAAAAGGTAGACAAGGGAACCAGAGGGACAGCTATACTGGACTTAATCCTTACCAATTGGGATGAAATGGTTGAGGAAGTAGAAGTTATAGGAACTTTGGGGGAGAGTGACGATAGCTTATTTCTTGACAAGAGAGAAAAATATGGGTTAGACACCTCAACCACCAGATAGATTTTCAATGCTGACTAATCATACCCCATATGTAATTCTCAGTGGAGCCCTAGAAGAAGTCTAGAAACCCCAGAGGACAAATTGCTTCTCACTGTCATTATCATGGTCTCGGTGTTTGCAACAACTTCCTCTACTTTTCCAATGATGGCCTTTGATGTAAACGTCAGACTGAAAGAACAGGGAAGGAATCTTTTATCAGAAAAGGATAAACGCCTCTGTGGACAAAAGTTCTGGGACAGGCTCTTCAATGTACTTTCCCCTTTACAGATGAATCTTGGTTTCTCTCTTTTTGAATCAAGAAAGCCACTGCATGTCTATCTATCTTGTGGGAGTGCTTTGAATTTGTGTAGTTCTTTTCGTTTTTATTTTCAGCAGGAAAGAAATTGATTCAGCTCCTTCAATAACGGACCTTCTGCTTCTGCTGCCGCTGCTAGCACCCCAGCCAGTCGCTGGGAAGCTTAGAATGAAGTACCTCCTGTATTTCAAGAACCAAGGTGAAAAAAAAAACGTGGAGCTACTACAGGCCAGGAGACCATCTCATTAAGTATAGTTGTCACTGCAACAAAATTATCGGATATAATGTTGCCTTTCAACATGGCTCCATATCATCAGTCTCAATCGTAAGTCATCCATTCCCTCTGTTTGCAATTCTGTCTCCATTTTTTTTCCCCTTGCTCTTATGTTACAGAATTGATCTAATTTCTTGGATTGGTTTAATTTCCATGTCTTATTATGCAGAAGAGACTCAAATCCAAAGATGGGACAGAAAATTATTCAAAGAAGTTCAGATTATTTCCCTCTCTTCATCCAATCCTATTGGTCAGTTGAATACTTGGTTTGGTTTAAGATATGATTGAAATGGTTGTGGTTAGCCTGGCATAACCCATTTTCATATATTTTAAATTGTTCATTTGTAATCAATTCCTGATCTTTATAATAATAGAGAATTACTTGTTTGTTTTTAGAGTTGCTTTTCTGGAACACTTATGAAATAGCCTCCTCTTTTTGTGATGGTTCTATTTTAGTGGTTGAATGAAGTTGACTCCTGCTTACTGGAGTGATGATGAAAATTAATACTCCTGTAATTTAATGGTTTATTTGTGATCCTTAACCCTGGTGGAGGACTATCTCCATCCCATTTTCCCGACAATCACAAATAGTAAATGATGATGGTGACTAATTTTAGTGCCTGATTTTGGATCTGTATTGACTCAGTAGGCTTATGGAGACAGAGCGGATTATACTGGAAAAAAAACCTGTTGTGGTGTTTCTATTGTTGTTGGTGATAATAACAAAACACTTTTTTTTT